GGAGGTGGAGCTGGTCGGGGTGGTACTTCTCAGCGGAGCGGCTCCGGGAGTGGTCAGCGCCAGCAGCAGCAGCAGCAGCAGCAGCGTTCTCGGGACATCCCCCCTCCTCAGCAGTTCCGTGAGTGGTACACGCAGCGTCAGCGTGGTGGGGGTTTTGGCCCGTGCACCTACGTCCTCCGCTCCGACGACCACGCGGGTGAGCAGTGTGGGGGTGCTCACCCCACCCAGCGCTGCTTTGGCCGCCTGACGGACGCTTGGCGTTAGCACTTCCCGGAGGCTAGTGAGATCCCCCACTGGGGAGAGCTGTCTAGGGCAGGCGTAGCTATCTTTGATCTTGACTTTGATGCTATCCTTGCTGCCATGTATGCTGTGACTATTAGTGATGAGGGTGACTGTTACCGGTGTTTCCCGCCCAACCCGGGCATTGGTACTGCTGCTCTAGGTACTGGTGAGGGTGCTGCTCTAGGTGCCAGTGCGTCCGCGCCCTCAGGTGCTGGTGAGTCTGCGCTCTCAGGTACCACGTCGGCTTCGGCCTCCCTCACCTTCACACTTGACTCAGGGGCTTCTCGCTCCTTCTTTCGAGACCGCACCACACTCACGCCGCTTGGTCGGCCAGTTGCATTCTCCCTGGCAGACCCCTCTGGGGGTCCTGTCCTCTCTCACTTCTCCACTGTCCTCCCGTGTCCGGCTGCCCCCTCTAGCACCTTGTCTGGTCTTTACCTCCCCTCGTTCTCTACAAACTTGGTGAGTGGTGCTGACCTGCAGGATACGGGGGTTCACCAGTTCACTCCTGCGAGTCAGCGGGTGACCCACTACACGGACGCTCGGACAGGCCGACACCTGGCCACGTTTACACGTCGGCCGGGGTCGAGCCTGTACACACTGACCACTGCGTCTCCTCCTGTCACTGCGTCTGGTCAGGTAGCTGCGTCGGGTCAGGTGTTTGCTGCAGCGTCCAGGTCTGGTCCAGAGTCTGCCCCGTGCTCGTGTCGCCTCCTGTCTCACGAGACTCTCCTCTGGCACCACCGTCTTGGTCACCCCTCCCTGCCTCGTCTCCGAGGCATGGCTTCCCGTGTCCTTGTCTCTGGTCTTCCCCGGTCCCTCCCTCCCCTTCCTCCGGGGCCTGGTCCTTCCTGTGTCCCCTGTGTCGAGGGGCGGCTCCGAGCTGCCCCTCACTCCTCTCAGTTTCCCCCGACAGAGGCCACGCTGCAGAAGCTTCACATGGACGTGTGGGGCCCGGCCCGCGTACGTGGACAGGGTCACGAGCGCTACTTCCTGCTGGTGGTTGACGACTACTCGCGTTACACCACAGTCTTCCCCTTGCGCAGCAAGGGTGATGTCGCTGAGGTGTTGATCGACTGGATCCGCGCAGCTCGTCTCCAGCTCAGGAGGAGCTTCGGCTCGGACTTTCCTATTCTGCGTCTGCACTCTGACCGAGGCGGAGAGTTCTCCTCTGGCCTTCTGCGAGCCTACTGTCGTGCGCGAGGCATCCGCCAGACCTTTACGCTTCCGGACTCTCCACAGAAAAATGGGATTGCTGAGCGCCGCATTGGCATGGTCATGGACGTCGCTCGTACGTCCATGATGCATGCGGCTGCCCCCCATTTTCTGTGGCCGTTTGCGGTTCGGTACGCGGCGCATCAGACCAACCTTTAGCCTTATATATATATATGTGTAATCCTGCATGTGAACTGGCCTTGTGGCCTTGACCTTGTGCTCGGACTGTGTGGTGACGTTGTGATCCACCCTGAGCTTTGTCTGCTTTGCCTGACTAGTCTTGTGACCCCTTGTTCTCCCCCACCTTGCCTATGGGGGTGTGTCAAATTATAATATTGTGTAGGCTATAGTGGGGTAGCCCATATGGGGTACACATTTCTAGGGTTGCATATTTGTATCACTTCCATTCCTTAGTCATTCATTCTCGTTCACATTTTCTCAGACCGGGACTGTGAGAGTACGACGGCTTATGCCAGCTATGCTTGCTTGCCTTTACTTCATCATGCTATTTCTAGCATAGGATAATCATATGCATGCATGAATTGCTTGGTTTCCTAGGCTAGGTGCTTTCCTATATTTTATTATAGTTATAGCACCGAGCTAGGTTGCGTGCACCGAATTCTGGCTTTTCGGTTGCCACCGAATCGCCTTCTACCGAATTCGGGAAGGATCTGTTCGGGACGCTTCGCGACCCGCGGAACCTTCGCGTAACACCTGGTTACTGGGCCTTGTGTCGAGCCTATATATAGCCTCGTGTTGTACCCAGGTGTTTATTCAATTCAAACTCTCTTTTCTGAGCTCGATCCCAGATCCTCACACTTGGTAATCAGAGCCCGTTTACACGCAAAAGTCTTTCGACCGCTAAGACCGAGTCTTCAAAAACCGCGGGGGCGACGCACTTAAACATCGATTTCGGGTACGTAAAACCGGTTCCGTGTTTTTCGCTCCCCATCGTTTCGGTTTTTTCGGACGCGTAATGTCAGGCATGGAGGGCCAAGGCGACAACTATGTGACCACGAGCGATATCACGAGCCTCCGCACCGACATGGAGCAGACGCAGCCGGCGCTACGATGACTCGAGGCCCTTCTAACACACCAATCAGGAATCGCCACCGCAGCAGCAGCGAATGCAGCAGCGAACGTAGCAGCAGCACCACCCGCAGCAGTGGCGACACCGACATTTCACGGACAGATGGCACCACTGTCGACGAACCTTGAAGCAGCACGACCGAGGCTCCCTGAAGCGTTCGATCCCAGCGCGAAGGGATCCGACGTCCGGCGATTCGTGGCAACCCTCGAAATTTACTTCGAGGCCATTGGCTGTTCGACCCCGCAACACGACGCAGCAAGGATTCGGCTCGCGGCGAAACTTTTACGTGGACCGGCACTCGAATGGATTTACTGCACCGACGTAGCTCACGGGGAGAAAACGTGGCAGCAGTTTCGGGCAGATTTAATCAAGCGTTTCGAACCGATAAATACGACCTACATGGCGCGGCAGCAGATACACCGACACAAGCAATACAGTAGTGTAGCTCAGTACACGCAGCAGATGGAGCTACTGTTCAACCGCATCACCGACCTGACCGAAGGCGAAAAAATCCAGGCGTACACAGAAGGGTTAAAATTGGAGATTCGGCGGCAGGTGATAGCGGCGAATTACAACAACTATCGCGACATCGTGCGTGCTACCGAGCGATACGATGCGCTGACTCGAGGTCAACCCGAAACACGTCGCTTCACGCCAAACCGTACATTCGGCACGGAGCGATCGGCACCCCCCACATTCGTCGAACCGATGGATATCGACAAATACGACGCGAAGCAGCAGCCGAAAAAATGTGAGTTTTGCGGCGCAGCAGGGCATCACTTTTTGTCGTGCTACAAAATCAAGAAAGCACGTGCGGCACTCCGGGACGGTAACAGTGGAGCACCTCTGAAGTCAAAAAACGGGAATCGCCAGTAGCCGCGGATCGACCTGGCGATCGCGTAAAGATCCGAAAATCAGGAAAAGGCGACGACGTGGCGGCTTTGGAGCGGGTGAAAAAAGGAGAAAAAGCTAGCGCGAATCTAAAATGTCACGATCGGCCGGCATCAGGGGAAATCGCCGAGGTGAATGGAGGCTCCGCGAAAAAAGACTCTGCACCGACCGGGAAACTCCAGCCAAACACCCTCTAAAGTAAGAATTCGTTAAGAGTATCCTATAAAGATACTCTAACGAAAAATATTACTTCTTGTTCAAGTTCTAGCAAGGCTTAGGAGCCATGGCTAGTGAGATCGAGTGAGTTGAGTTCGAGAAAGTTGAAAAAGGTGAAAAAGAGTCGAGAGAATGAGGGGTTTCACTATAGGTTCAAGGGTACAAATATGAGAGAACAAGCAAGAAAGGTGCACCACCAAATAGGAAAACGCTATAACTACAGTAACCAATCCTACAGGCAGTTACATATAGAAAATATTAAATTATATTTTCCGACACGCCCTTATAACTGGCTGTAGGAGATGAGTATGCAGTTAGCGCCCTCTGAAGGGGTACATCACGATTGTGCAGGAGGAGAAAAGTGTTTCAATAATACCACTCCCCTGGCTCCCCCACACCCTCACACCCTCCCACCCTCCCCCTCCCCTTCCCCCTCCCCCACACACTGCTGCAGGAGCAGCAGAGGGGGGAAGAGAGGAGAGGTGGAGGGACGGCTGCTGGGTGGTCTCACACCCGCCACCCCAGGGCCACTCCCCGGGCTCCCCCACACCCTCACACCCTCCCCCCCAGCGGCAGCTGCAGCAGCGGGAACAAAAGGAGGAGGAGAGAGGGGGGGGGGGGGGGGGGGGGGGGGGGGGGGGGGGGGGCGACGCACGGCCTCCCCGGGCGCCAAAGCAGGCGGCAGAGGGGGCGACGCCTGCCCCCCCCTTCCAGGTCGCCCCTCCCGGCACCTGTCGAGGTGACCTGAGGGGGCCGCGTGCGGGGCCGTAAGGCCACAGGTAGGCGACGGGGCCGTAGGGCTTAGGAGCCATGGCTAGTTAGATCGAGTGAGTTGAGTTCGAAAAAGTTGAAAAAGGTGAAAAAGAGTCGAGAGAATGAGGTTCAAGGGTACAAATATGAGAGAACAAGCAAGAAAGGTGCACCCCCAAATAGGAAAACGCTATAACTACAGTAACCAATCCTGAGAAGATTAGAACGAGAATGGGTGAACTATGAAACGAAGTGAGTACAAATATGAAACCCTAATTGGTTGTACCCCCTATGGGATACCCCACTATAGCCTACACAACAGCATAAGCTATAATGTTCTGACACACCCCCATAGGCAAAGTGGGGGAGAACAAGGGGTCACAAGACCAGTCAAGCAAAGCAAAGCAAAGCAAGCTCAAGGTGGATCACAAAGTCACCACACAGTCCAAGCACAGGGTCACGGCCAAACGGCCAGTTCACATGCAAGAGTACACACATATATATAAAGCTAGGCAAGCAAGAGCAGGTATATATATATGTGAGAGTACAAGCAAGGTCAAGAGGAGAGCAAGTGAGGCAAGACGGGCACAAGACCCAGCTGAGTGCAGAAGCGCTGATGATCACAAGGCGGAAGTGCCTTGGTGAAGACATCAGCAGTGTTGGCCTCAGAGGCCACGTACGCAAGCCGCAACTGTCCACGCTGCTGTAGCTCACGAGCAAGGAAGTAGCGGAGAGCAATGTGCTTCGTTCTGTGCTCCAGTCGCTGCTCTCCACACAAGGCCAGCATGGCCTTGTTGTCTACGTACAGGACTGGAGGAGAACGAGGCGGCTCTCCAAAGTCAGTCAGCAGGTAGGTGAGCCAGCGAAGCTCCTGTGCAGCCATGGCCCCGGCGTAGATCTCAGCCACACAACTGGAGCCAAGAACAGAAGACGAGCGAGTAGCCCGCCACGAAACAGAGCCGGAACCAAGGCTGAAGGTGTAACCCTGTGACGACCGCTGCGTAGCCTGGTCGTCAGCCCAAGACGCGTCCGCGTGCCCAGTGAGGACCACTGGACTCCGCCCTCCAAGCACTAGCCCCATGCCCAACGTACTGCACAGGTAGCGCAACACCCTCTTCGCTGCAGCCATGTGCTCTGGTCGGTGTCTCCCAGGAGCAACATAGCGTGCGAGAATGCTAAGAGGGTATGCAAGGTCAGGTCGTGTGCAGGTCATCAGGTACATGAGGCAGCCAACAAGCTCTGGGTACGGGCCACTCGAATCTACGGACTCATCCGAAGGCAGAGCTGAGAGCGAGTGGCGAGTAGACAGAGGAGTGGCCTGAGGCGAGGAGTACGTGAAGCCGAAGTGCTGAAGGACCTGCTGCACCATGTGTGACTGAGTCAGGGTAATGGTGTGGCGTGCTCTGTCCCGGGTGATCTGCAAGCCAAGGTAGCTGCGCAGTTCACCCAGTTCTGTGCACGTGTGTCTCTTCTGCAGTTCGGACTTCACGTAGGCGAGTCCAGCAGTGTCAGCTGTGGCAAAGACCAAGTCGTCGACGTACACGAGGATGTAGAACGGCGGCAGAGAGGTGTCGGTGCGCAGAAACAGCGACGGGTAGGCAGTAGAAGGAGCAAACCCAAGAGCCGCAAGCGTAGTCCTCAGTGTGTCGTGCCACTCACGTGGCGCCTGGCGGAGACCGTAGACTAGACGCCGGAGACTCCACTGGGTACCAGGAGGGAAAGACCCAGTGAAGCCAGGTGGGCGACGCAGCAAGATCTCCTCGTGCAGGCTGCCCTGCAAGAAAGCTGTGCTGAAGTCAAGAGAGTGCGGCTCGTAGTCACGGTGAGCAGCAACGTGCAGCAGTACCCGAAGAGTGGTCATCTTCGGGGTGGGGGAGAAGGTCTGAATGTACTCGACTCCCTGCCGCTGACTGAAGCCAGGAGCCACGTAACGCGCCTTGAAGACACGCGGAGAGCCCGGCGGCCTCTTCACCCTGAAGATCCACATGCCACTGACGATGTTCGCCCCAGGAGGGGGGACAGCGTCAACGTAGGTGTCTGTGGACTTCCAGGAAGCCATCTCTGCATCTATAGCTGCCTGCCACTGAGAGGAGTAGGGACCCTCTATCGCCTCCGCGTAAGAGCGCGGAGTCGGGATGTCAAGTGCATCTGGGTCTCCTTCAGGGGTAAGCAGTACGGACACGAGATGAGGTGAAGCAGCTGCCAGACACTGGAACTCCTCCTGCCTGTCCTCAAGGACGTCCGTGCCAAGGGCACACTCACCCCCGACGGACGGAGGACAGACAGACTCAGACTCAGCGACAAGACTAGCAGCGTAGTCTAAGCGACAGCGAGCAGCAAAGTCGACGAGCTCAGTAACGAGAGCAGACGCAGCAGTAGACTCGAAAGAAGGGTCAGTGATAACAGTAGCAAGGAGACGCGTGACAGTAGGACTGGCAGCACGAAGAGAGTCCGACTCAAGGTCGGCAAGTGCAGGAAGAGAGGACTCAGGAGGGGAAGGCAAAGGGGCACGCAGAAGAGTAGTAGACGGACGCAGAGACATCCGGTGCGTGCCAGGGATAGGAGGAGGACGCTGGCGCGAACCGCGACCACTAGCACGAGCAGCTCTAACAGGCGACGCAGGACGGGACGCAGGCTCACGACGCTCAGTAAGACCTCCAGTAGGACGAGCGTAGGGAGAAGGAGCAGGCAGAGGGGAGGCACGCTGTAGCTGTGACTGTGACGGGACAGGCTCTGGACACTCTGAGGGAGGAGGAGGACCAGTAGAAGGAGGAAGACCAAGAACCTGCTGCAGGAGTGGAACAAAGTACGGTCGAGGCCGCGTGACAACGCCAGAAGCAGCAGGGACAGCACCAGTACCCTCAGCAGAATTACCCACTCCAGCAGCACCTCCAGCAGCACCAGGAGCACCCCGAGTAGGACCGCCAGCGGGAGTCTCAGCGCCAACACCCTCAGTAGCACCAGCTCCAGTCGAACCCGTAGGCCCAGTAGCTCCAGTACTCCCAGTACGAGCACCTCCGGGACCCGCGACCGCAGCACCCTCAGCAGCCGAAGAACCTCCTGCACCAGCAGTACGGCGCCAGCGCCGGGCAAACCACTCGCGCAGCTCCTGTGGAGAGAGTGGCTCCCGGCGAGAAGAAGCACCCGGAGAACCTCGAGGCGAAGCACCTCCACTCTCAGCACCCCCAGGCGTAGCACCTCCAGGCTCAGCACCCCCAGGCGTAGCACCTCCAGGCTCAGCAACCCTAGGCGTAGCACCCCCAAGCTCAGCACCCCCAGGCTCAGCACCCCCAGACTCCGCACCCCCAGGTCCAGCACCCCCAGGCTCAGCACCCCCAGCAGCACCAGAGTCACCAGTGACCTCGACAGGCTCGACTGCGTCTACCTGGGACACACCTGAAGGGGCAGGACCCTGAGGGGGGAGGGAGTCTACCTGGGGGGGACCTGGTACAAGAAAGAGCGGGGGTGGGGGGAGGGACGGAGTGCGGTAGGGGACGAGGCGGTAGTAGGGGACCGACTCGTCAAACGTGACGTCCTGGGAGGACAGAACACGTCGAGAGGTGGGGTGGTAGAACTGCCACCCAGGCGCGTCAGGGGGGAACCCCAGGAAGACGCAAGGAGCAGCACGAGGGGACAGCTTGTCCGCAGACAAGTCGCGGACAAACGCCCGAGATCCCCAGGCCCGGAACGCCGACGCATCGCCAACCTTCCCCATCCATAGTAAGGCTGGGGAGGTCTCTGGCCTGGAGACCCTGGGGTTGAGGTTGATCTGATGCGCCGCGTACCTGACCGCAAACGGCCACAGAAAATGGGGGGCAGCCGCATGCATCATAGACGTACGAGCGACGTCCATGACCATGCCAATGCGGCGCTCAGCAATCCCATTTTGCTGCGGTGAGTCCGGAAGCGTGAAGGTCTGTCGGATGCCTCGTGCGCGACAGTAGGCTCGCAGTAGGCCAGAGGAGAACTCTCCGCCTCGGTCAGAGTGCAGACGCAGAACAGGGAAGTCCGAGCCAAAGCTCCGCCTGAGCTGGAGACGAGCCGCGCAGATCCAGTCGATCAGCACCTCAGTGACATCACCCTTGCTGCGCAAGGGGAAGACCGTGGTGTAACGCTAGTAGTCGTCAACAACGAGCAGGAAATAGCGCTCGTGACCCTGTCCACGGACGCGGGCCGGGCCCCACACGTCCATGTGAAGCGTCTGCAACGGGGCCTCTGTCGGAGGAAACTGGGAGGAGTGAGGGGCAGCCCGCTGGCGCCCCTCGACACAGGGGACACAGGCAGGGCCAGGGCCCTGAGGAAGGGGAGGGAGGGACCGGGGGAGACCAGACACAAGAAGACGGGAGGCCATGCCTCTGAGCCGAAGCAGAGAGGGGTGACCAAGACGGTGGTGCAAGAGGAGAGTCTCATGAGACAAGAGACGACACGAACAGGGGGCAGACTCAGGACCAGACCTAGACGCTGCAGCAAACACCTGACCAGACAAAGCGACTCTACCAGGCTCAGTAACGGGAGGAGACGCAGTGGTCAGTGTGTACAGGCTCGACCCCGGCTGACGGGTAAACGTAGCGAGGTGCCGGCCTGTGCTAGCCTCTGTGCAGTGCGTCACCCGCTGACGCGCAGGAGTGAACTGGTGTACTCCCCCATCCTGTAGGTCAGCACCACTCACCAGGTTTGTCGAGAACGAGGGGAGGTAGAGACCAGACAGGGTGCCAGTAGGAGCCGCCGGACACGGGAGGACTGTGGAGAAGCGAGACAGTACAGGACCCCCGGAGGGGTCAGCCAGAGACACCGCAACCGGCCGACTAAGCGGCGTGAGTGTGGTGCGGTCCCGAAAGAAGGAGCGAGACGCCCCAGAGTCAAGAGTGAAGGTGAGGGAGGCCGAAGCCGACGTAGTACCTTAGAGCGCAGACTCACCAGTACCTGAGGACGCAGACACACTAGCACCTAGAGCAGCAGCGTCGCAAGCACCTAGGGCAGCAGCCTCAATGCCCGGATCGGGCGGGAAACAGCGGTAGCAGTCACCCTCATCACTATGAGACACAGCATACATGGCAGAGAGAATAGCATCAAAGTCAAGATCAAAGATGGCAACACCCGCCCTAGACAGCTCGCCCCAGCGAGGAATCTCTGAGGCCTCCGGGAACTGGTGACGCCACGCGTCCGTCAGGCGGCCAAAGCAGCGCTGGGTGGGGTGCGGACCCCCACACTGCTCACCCGCACGGTCGCCGGTGCGCAGGACGTAGGTGCACGGACCAAAACCCCCACCCCGCTGGCGTGCAGTGTACCACTCACGGAGCTGCTGAGGGGACAGGGTCTCACGACCGCGCTGCTGCTGCTGGCGCGCGCCACTACCGGAGCCACTCCTCTGCGAAGGCCCGCGACCAGCTCCACCGCCACCCCCACCGCCTCCGCCGCCTCCGCTACTGCCGCCGCCTCCACCGCCGCCTCCACCGCCGCCTCCACCGCCGCCTCCTCCGCCACCTCCGCTCCCACCGCCACCGCCGCCGCCGCCTTCGCCTCCACCGCCGCCACCGACCCCCCCACCCGCACCTCCACTCCCACCGCCACCCCCACTACCCCCACCGCCTCCACCTCCACCTCCACCGCCCGCTCCTCCAGCTCCCTTGCCCCCCTTGCCCTTGCCAGGGCGGCGTCTCCCGCTACGGGCAGACGCCGCACTGACCGACTCAAGACCAAGGAGGTCGGCCGTAGCAGCAGAGGCAACAAAGAGCAGCAGGGGGGAGGGGGAACACCCCTCAAAGATGGGGGTGCGCGGGTCACCTCGAGAGGCTCGTACAGCGACTATACTCTTCTCCGCTGCTAAGAGGGCCTTCTCGAGGAGATCGACAGTGAGTGTGGTGGGACAGACTGAGAGAAAGTGGTCCCTGACTACTCGAAGGGAGTCAGTAAGGCGAGTGACTAGGAAGTACAGAGTGATGTACATGGGGGGGGGGTTCTTGGCGCAGAAGTCAGCAGGGAGAGCAGCGCGGTAGCGAGTGTCACTGCAGTGCGGAGGTGCGTTATGAGGTCAGCCACGGTGGGAAAGGCAGCAAGGTCAGGGAAGAGGTACGGTAGCATGAGACGGCTCAGTGCAGCAGTGGCAGGGGAGGAGTAGCGCGCGACTACAGCGTCGTACAAGGTCTGAGCACTCTTGTACTGACTAAAGTGCGCACGCTCGGAGGTAGGGAGGTGGCGACGCACAGCAAGACGTGTAGCAGCGTCGCGCGTGGCCCACTGGGAGCGAACAGTGGCGTCAGCATCAGCAGCAGGGGCAGGGGAAGCGCCAGAGGTAAGGTCAAAGAGAGAGAGGCCGTCTGCCCTATCGCACTGTAAGAACAGCTGCAGGTCGTCTACCCAGACCTCAAAGTCAATGGCCCGACCCTCAGCGTCAAAAGCGAGGACACTAGGGGTAGCCATGACGACAGTAGCCTAGCAGTACTACCTGTAGGACAGGGGCAGTGCAGTGACAGGAGGGCTGCTCTCACCAGACAGGGCGGGTCGGGCAGCTCAGCAGCACAGCAACGCGGCTGCTCGGACAGCTCAGCAGCAACTGCGGTTCGGGCGGCTCAGGCGGCTCGGCTCCACAGCGGCTCAGGCGGCTCGGGCGGCTCGGGCGGGTCGGGCGGCTCGGCTCCTCAGCGGCTCAGGGGGCTCGGGCGACTCGGGCGGCTCGGGCGGCTCGGGCGGGTCGGGCGGCTCGGCTCCTCAGCAGCTCAGGCGGCTCGGGCGGCTCGGGCAGGTCGGGCAGCTCGGGCGGCTCGGGCGGGTCGGGCAGCTCGGGTGGCGCGGGCGGTGTAGGGCCGTAGGGCCGTTGGTAGGGCTCGGGGCCGCAGCGAGAGGGGCGGCGGGGCCGCAGAGACGGGCGGCGGGGCCGCAGTGAGAGGCGGCGGGGCCGCAGCTAGAGAGGCGGCGGGGCCGCAGAGACGGGCGGCGGGGCCGAAGTGAGAGGCGGCGGGGCCGCGAAGACGGGCGGCGGGGCCGCTGAGACGGGCGGCGGGGCCGCATTGAGAGGCGGCGGGGCCACAGAGAGAGAGGCGGCGGGGCCGCGACGACGGGCGGCGGGGCCGCTGAGACGGGCGGCGGGGCCGCAGGGAGAGGCGGCGGGGCCGCAGCTAGAGAGGCGGCGGGGCCGCGGAGACGGACGGCGGGGCCGCAGAGACGGGCGGCGGGGCCAAAGTGAGAGGCGGCGGGGCCGCAGCGAGAGAGGCGGCGGGGCCGCGAAGACGGGCGGCGGGGCCGCTGAGACGGGCGGCGGGGCCGCAGTGAGAGGCGGCGGGGCCGCAGCGAGATAGGCGGCGGGGCCGCGAAGACGGGCGGCGGGGCCGCTGAGACGGGCGGCGGGGCCGCAGGGAGTGGCGGCGGGGCCGCAGCTAGAGAGGCGGCGGGGCCGCAGAAAAGGGCGGCGAGGCCGCTGAGACAGGCGGCGGGGCCGTAGTGAAGGGCCGCTAGGGCGGCTCGACGAAGTGAGGGCCCGGAGCACGACTCGGGCTGAGCGCGCTTCGGGCAGGAAAAAAACTCGATGTGGTGGGCCCTAAGCACAGTTCCCAAGGGGGAACCTGCTCGATACCATGAGAAGATTAGAACGAGAATGGGTGAACTATGAAACGAAGTGAGTACAAATATGAAACCCTAATTGGTTGTACCCCCTATGGGATACCCCACTATAGCCTACACAACAGCATAAGCTATAATGTTCTGACAAATCCTACAGGCAGTTACATATAGAAAAAAATAAATTATATTTTCCGACACTTCTCGTGGTTTTCAAGCCTTTGAAAAAATCAGGGGAGATTTAGAGGCCAAGAAAAATCCTTTAGAAATTATTCAGGTACCTGAGAAGTTGAGCAAAGTACTACGGAGCGTAGAAAAGGGTCGTGCGTTCCGTGGAGTTAATATTCTCTCCCCGCAGCACATTGTTAAGGCTCCCCGTTGCCCACAGGTGAAGCCTACACAGCTGCCAAGGCTTTGAGGAGAATTCCAGGCTCCTGAGAATTGGTACAAGCCTCGGAAAAATCCTCCTACCCCCCAGGTGAAGTTCGAAGAGAAAAGTGCTGAGTCGGGTATAGGAAATAGGGGTGGTATTCAGTTTGATGTACCCTATGATCCTATCAATGAGACCCTCTTTGGCTACTCAGCGCAGCAGGCACCACTACTCCTCGAGGTGTTATGCAAAGGACGACGCCTCCAGGCACCGGTGGACAGCGGTGCATCTCACTTGGTGTGTGACCGCGGGACATTGGAGAAAATTGGGGAACCTTCCGAGGAGACCAAGTTCTCGGCAACGATGGTGGACGGCACGAAACTTCCCATCCACGGCGAAGCATCACTGCAGCTGCACATAGGGGCGCTAATGTGGAAGCCGACGTTGCCGGTCACGAACATCAAAGGGTTAGATTTCATCTTGGGGCGAGATTTCTTGAAGCGGTTCAACCCCGAGATCGACTGGGTCAACAGGAAGGTGTGCATCTACAACAACGGGAAGCGGATAGCACTACGAAGCTGGACAGATACAGGGGATGTTCCTGAAACGACACTAGCACGGTTTGAACAGACGGTGAACGAGAATAAAACGGATACCTAGCACTGGTTATGGCAGCAGCACAGGAGGAGAAGCCGAACGCAGAACTACCTGCAGCAGTGAAGGAGGTCTTAGAGAAATACAAGGAGATAATGCCCGACGACCTACCTGCAGGTGTACCCCCTGCACGCACCCACGAGCACAAGATCGTGGAGGAACCAGGTGCGAAACCCGTCTCACGTGCACCATACCGACTAAGTCCGACCGAACTAACAGACATGAAGAAACAGATCGAATATCTACTGGACAGACAACTGATCCGCCCGTCCACCTCTCCCTACGGTCCACCAGTCCTCTTCACTCCAAAACCAGACGGCAGTCTACGGATGTGCATCGACTACCGCGCACTGAACAAACAGACAGTTAAAAACAAATATCCAATACCGCGCATAGACGACCTACTAGGCCAAATACGTGATGCAACAGTCTTTTCGAAGCTGGACCTACGGTCGGGTTACTGGCAGATCAAGATGGCGGACAACTCGATCCACAAGACGGCATTCCGTACCAGATACGGCTCCTACGAATACTTGGTGATACCGTTCGGACTCTGCAACGCACCAGTGACGTTCCAGGCGGAAATGAACCATATCCTACGGCCCCTGCTGGACGAGAAGTGGAAAGTACCAGAGAACGTGAAGGAGTTGCAGCAGTTCCTAGGCTTTGCCAACTACTACAACAGGTTCGTGCCACAGTACGCTAAGATTGCAGCGCCACTGACCGACTTACTGAAAAAGGATACGCCCTTCAAATGGGATACACCTCATCAGCAAGCCATGGAACAGCTACAGACAGCACTGACCACAGCCCCAGTACTCATCCTACTGGACCCCGAGAAAGACTATGTCATTGAAGCAGACGCTAGTGACCAGGCAGTCGGAGCAGTACTGATGCAAGATCACGGGAACGGTTTACAGCCTATCGCCTACCTCAGTAAGACGCTACACGAAGTAGAACTGAACTACCCCATCCATGACAAGGAAGCCTTAGCGATAGTCATAGCCTTCAAGGCGTGGAGGTGTTACCTAGAAGGAGCCAAGACCACAGTCTATACTGACCACTGCAGTCTCAAATACCTGAAGTCACAGCCAACGCTCTCGAGGCGACAGGTGGGGTAGATGGAGTTCCTAGAAACTCACTTCCACTACAACATCGTCTACAAGCCCGGGCTACACAACAAGGCAGACGCATTGAGCCGCCCCGGACATGTAGCAGGCATCCAGCTCGACGGGATGAACCCTCTGCTCAAGGGTCTATTCCAACATGGGAACTCCGTGGACGCAGAGATCACTACAGCACAGACCAAGAAGCTGTTACAGTGGGAGAAAGACTTAGCTATAAGAAAGTGTGAGAATCGAAATGAGAATGGATCAACTATGAAATGAGAGAGTACAAGTACTAACCTTAATTGGGTTGTACCCCCTATGGGATACCCCACTATAGCCTACACAAATGTAGAAGCTATATAGCATTCTGACACACCCCCATAGGCAAAGTGGGGGAGAACAAGGGGTCACAAGACCAGTCAAGTAAAGCAAAGCAAAGCAAGCTCAGGGTGGATCACAAAGTCACCACACAGTCCGAGCACAGGGTCAAGGCCACACGGCCAGTTCACATGCAAGAGTACACACATATATATAAAGCTAGACAAGCAAGAGCAGGTATATATATACATATATATATATATATATGTGAGAGTACAAGCAAGGTCAAGAGGAGAGCAAGTGAGGCAAGACGGGCACAAGACCCAGCTGAGTGCAGAAGCGCTGATGATCACAAGGCGGAAGTGCCTTGGTGAAGACATCAGCAGTGTTGGCCTCAGAGGCCACGTACGCAAGCCGCAACTGTCCACGCTGCTGTAGCTCACGAGCAAGGAAGTAGCGGAGAGCAATGTGCTTTGTTCTGTGCTCCAGTCGCTGCTCTCGACACAAGGCCAGCATGGCCTTGTTGTCTACGTACAGGACTGGAGGAGAACGAGGCGGCTCTCCAAGGTCGGTCAGCAGGTAGGTGAGCCAGCGAAGCTCCTGTGCAGCCATAGCCCCGGCGTAGATCTCAGCCTCACAACTGGAGCCAAGAACAGAAGACGAGCGAGTAGCCCGCCACGAAACAGAGCCGGAACCAAGGCTGAAGGTGTAACCCTGTGACGACCGCTGCGTAGCCTGGTCGTCAGCCCAAGAAGCGTCCGCGTGCCCAGTGAGGACCACTGGACTCCGCCCTCCATGCACTAGCCCCATGCCCGATGTACTGCACAGGTAGCGCAACACCCTCTTCGCTGCAGCCATGTGCTCTGGTCGGTGTCTCCCAGGAGCAACATAGCGTGCGAGAATGCTAAGAGGGTATGCAAGGTCAGGTTGTGTGCAGGTCATCAGGTACATGAGGCAGCCAACAAGCTCTGGGTACGGGCCACTCGACTCTACGGACTCATCCGAAGGCAGAGCTGAGAGCGAGTGGCGAGTAGACAGAGGAGTGGCCTGAGGCGAGGAGTACGTGAAGCCAAAGCGCTAAAGGACCTGCTGCACCATGTGTGACTGAGTCAGGGTAATGGTGCGGCGTGCTCTGTCCCGGGTGATCTGCAAGCCAAGGTAGCTGCGCAGTTCACCTAGGTCTGTGCACGTGTGTCTCTTCTGCAGCTCGGACTTCACGTAGGCGAGTCCAGCAGTGTCAGCTGTGGCAAAGACCAAGTCGTCGACGTACACGAGGATGTAGAACGGCGGCAGAGAGGTGTCGGTGCGCAGAAACAGCAACGGGTCGGCAGTAGAAGGAGCAAACCTAAGAGCCGCAAGCGTAGTCCTCAGTGTGTCGTGCCACTCACGTGGCGCCTGGCGGAGACCGTAGACTG